AATAATAAATAGAAAAAAAATGCTATATATATAAAATATGATAGAGGTTGTGATAAGACAGAGAAATGTTTATGACTGTGGTACGGGTTCAATATTTGTCAAGGATAAACTTATGGCTAAGGATATTATCAGTGAAGTTATCTTTTGTTAGGGGTAAGAATTCAATATTAAATGAGTCTATCATGAACGGTTTTATATAAATCTGTTAGAAATTCTGTAAAAATCAAAATGAATTAATTTCGTTATCAGTTATTACTTTCCAAGATACAAAAAAGTCACAAGCGTTTCGTCAAAAATGCAAGTTCGCTTTTATCATTATTTTTTGTCATATAACATTCACGAAAAATGCTAACGCAACGGAAAACAAAAGATTTATTTTTAACAAACAATTTTGTCAGTACTACAGCAATCTATTTCGCATCAATGAAAATATATGTGAAATATATTGTCATCATGTTGAACAAATTGAATAACAAGCCAATAGATAAATACAATTTATTTATAAATGAACAAAAATCCGAGCAATACTCGACGATTGATCAGACTAAGTAAGATTTTTGTGAAAACAGTGGCAGAGTCAATGTGGGCCAATTCTATTTATATTCAATAATTTGCAATTCAAAGAAACCCCTTAGGTGGCAGCAATAAAATCCAGCACAGATATTTATGACAAACAATCAACACCCGCAAACAACAAACACACATGGCTAGTATCGGAAACAAAAAAGGCTTTATGAAGCTATAGATAGACGCGTATCTATCTATCTGTGCAAACTCGCACTGTCAATGAGAAATGCATTGATATGTAATTCAATAGCAAAACTAATAAACTGCTATTGCAATTGCAATGGCAATGGCAATTGCTAGTGCGAATACGAGTGCGAGAGTGCAACTTTTATTGAGCCAACCGACCACCCCAGGTGGGTTGCGATGCCAAACGATTCCTGCGCTGTTTGCCTTCGATACAATCTTAACCAGGTGAGTGCAACCGGCACGGGCATAAATCAAAGCACAACTTCAGACTTATCAAGATATGGCAGAGCCAACACAAAACTTGCAGTTGAAACAACAGTTATCTACACTTCACGAAATATACAACAATTTTGTACATTTTGATAAATATATTAATAAAACTTTTCCATTTTCAAATGCAATTGCTCAATGCCTTTCTTAAATAATAACTAAAACTTTTTTAAATATTAAGTGTTTCAAAGGTGTACAATATTTTTGAGAATATTTAATATATAACTTTTTGAATAACTTTTTTTCAAAGTGCACATAACTGCTGCAGTTTACAGTTCAAACTTTTTAGTGGCATGAGTAATCGAAGTTGGTGACGAGTAGAGAGGACTAAAATGTTAGAAATGAATTTTAAATATTTTATCGATGCGCGTTCGTGACTCACTTGAGTCCCCAGTCTGGCATTCTGGCCTTCTGGCTTTCTGGCTTGCTGTCTCCCGGCGGACGCTCGCATTTTGATCAAATGTGGCCCAAAGTCAAGTCGAGCCAAGTCAGTGGCAACCGCAGAAATCCCCACAGAAATATCTCAGAAGGGTCGCAGTGTCTAACTATATATGTGAGTCACGTAGTCGGGCGGAGCATGTAAATGACTTGGGTGACAAACAGACTATAGACTGATATTTGGGGGCGGCGGTGGAATAGACCTTGTCACATTGTCTCGAAAGCCCAGGAAAAATTAGTGAGAAGGAGTTTGCCGCTTTGGTTTTCGTTTTTTTCCGTTTTTTTTTCGGGTCTTTTAACTTGTTTTGCTCATTCGTGACACGCGCCAAAACACAAATTTCTGTTCGATTTATGCAATTGAGGAAATAAGTTCGACTTCGACAACGGAGGAAGATTGCTTTCGGCTTGTGGCAACTTTGGATTTGGATTGGTGGCGGATTGGATGGTTGGAGTTTGGGAGACTTAAGTGGATATACCAGGAACGGAACACGAAGTCCAATAAACGTTTTGCGGTAAATGCGAAATTAATAATTAAGCAGACACAACTGCAAGGAGTTAGGCGAACAGTTGAGGAATATTTATTGCCTGTGTCAATTGGTTTGTATACGAAGTGTGATTACTTTTTGGGCGATGGATTTTTTCAGGGAAATTTAATGGAGTTCGAGTTGGCAATGCAAAAACCATGCAATTACCAGGTATATCAATTCAACCGTCTTAGTTTAGTTTAGATTTAAAAGCTTAAGTTAAACCTTAATCGAAAACTCATATAGCGAATTAAATTTCATTGCTATAAGCATACGAAATGGTTAATTTAATTGCACACAAATTAAATCTATTTATGAAAGCTTGTTTAATTATAGAGATAAGATACCAATTATTGTACAAATCATTAAGCTGCTCAAGCGTAAGGATATCCAAGAAATTATTTAAGACATTTGATGCGTAATTTAATAAATTTAAAAAAGTATGCAGACAACATGCCTTGTACACTAAATCATATAACCAATTAATTGGCGGCACGATTTAAATTTCAAAGGAATAAAGAAATTTCAAACAAATATTCCAAAGAATAAATCAATCTAATAAACTTGTTCAACAAGCCCTAAGCCCCAACAAGATTACTCTTTTCCAAGCTCGAAAGGAACACTCCCCAGCAGTTGTGTGTTGGATCCCACACACATTGAGGAATTTATGTGCCATGACTGTCTCATAATTCCTATATGCATTTTGTTCAGTATCGTATATTCGAAACCCCTTAGTGTATTCTGTGTTTCTTTTTTTTTTTTATCGGCCGCAAACGTTTACCATATGTGGGCAATGTCACAGATTGCTCATGTTCGTGTTCCAGTGCAGCGGGGTAACTTGAGAACTCAAGTTCGAGAACGACTCTGCTGTCCGGGCATTTATTTCATTAGCACGCTGATCGGGGGACAGGATAAAAGGAGAAGTGAACAAGAACCGAGAAATTCATTAAAGACTAAAATTCGAATAAGAAAAGCCAAAACGATGCCCGGCGAACGATAAACTCGCGACATGCGACTCCAAACTCAAACAGAAAAAACAAAAAAACAAAAAAAAAACATCCTCGACCGCTGGGTGACAGAGCGTTGGTAATTTATTTAACTGCATTTTTGTGGATTCGATTTCCGAGGAGCCAGAATTTGTATACGCACGACAGATTAATGCGCCCGTGTGATGCCAAAAGATACAGAGATACAGATACAATGATGCTGGTTCGAATGTTCGTAGACTGCGGCAGGTAGAGATGTCTCGATAAGATACTTCGTTTTGTGATCCTTTCATTTCTCAGTGTGTGTATGCGTGTGAGTCTGTGTGTGTGGCAGACAGACAAGAAGTTCAAATATAAATATTTATGTGGAAAACAGCAGGCGTTTTGTCAAAATATTTGTGTAAGACCTCGAAGCCATCCATCCACATTCAGAGCTAAACACAGATTTTCTGATTCCGGCTTGCGAGAGCGATTTGTAGCCCGAAATATTGTTTACACACCCGATTTCTGTTTGTCTTTATCGATGCCAGCAGTCAGATTGTATTGTATTAAGTCATTCGGTCGGGAAAGAGTTCCAGCGGTTTTGTGGTTTTATCCTGAAGACCAGGTGAAACGCCCCTGTTTCCTCTGTTTCTTGCTTTCTGTGAAAAATTGCTGGCTTACATGGAGATAGATAGCTGGAGACAAAACATGGGAAAGGGGTTTTCTAAGGGCGCATAATCCTTTGGCCTGTCACAGCCCAAGAGTTGCGTATCCCTTGGCTTCCTGCATTGCAGCAGATGCCCTGTTGGGCCATAAATCGTTTCAACTGGGTTAATTCGATCTGAAAGGGATTTTATTGTGCCTTCTAATCTAAGCTTAATTACGGGATATGCTGAGATTCAGTTCTTTTTATGTAATTATTTAGATTTTTTACATATGCAATATTAGGTAATACACTTTAGCATGACTAAAATTTAAATAAATGTAAGCCTTAAAAGTTTTTTTAATTGAGTGGCAAGTTAGGCAAGCAAATTTATCATAATCAATTAAATAAAATACATAAATTTGTCTTTCACAGAGTGATTTTAGAATAATATATTTTATTTCAATTTACATACAATTTTAAAGCTATTAAATAGTTAATATATGTTTATTTCTCTTCAAAATTAATTTTTAATGCTTTAATTAATTTAAAACTCAGTACAATTTTATATCTTTCTTTCAAAATTAACTTAAAATCTTTAAAAAATTATTTGACTATATAAAAAAATTAAACCAGTTAAGTAGATAATTTGCAAGTCGATTTGGCCACTCTAAATCATTTCTTCCCTCCAGAAGCCTCCATTTTTTTTGGCTGTCCTCAATTTGAGCTCCGGTAGTTAGCTTCTGCCATGCGGTCGACTTGCCGCATTATCCTATTTTATTTACTGCTAATGCTGCGCTTTCGACGTCTAAATCGCATTTGCTGTGATTTTTTCCCTATTTTCCTTCTTATATATACACTTTTTTCTGGCATGGCCAACAACAGGAGCAGAATAAAACACATCATTAATTTAAGACGAGGCTGCGAGACAAACACATATATTAGAAGAAAGGACTAAGAGGCAGGCCTTCATCATCAAACGAGGCAAAAGTCAAAGGACTTAAGTAGCATTGGCAACAACCAACAGCAGCAAAGAACAAAAATTAATTTAGCTTAATTCGTCCACGAAACTTTGTGTGGAGGCCAGAAACCAACTCGGATGCTCAAACGAATGTGTGTGAGTTGGACTCCTTTAGGGCCTTTTGCCGCTGAATCCTTTAATCCCATTGCCTGCCAGTTTAATTATGTAGTTTATTAGGCGGAAATGAAAAAGCGAAAGCCAAAAGCGGAAACGGAAACCAAGCGACGACCGAAAGAACTCCCGGGTCTTATACAATTTATACATGCACAAGGAGTCGGCTGAAACCACTTCACCCAGCGAAACTCCAAACTCTGAATCATTTAACTCTACTTTGCATATATAGAGTCGGGCACTGAAAAAAGGTTAAACTCTTTTTAGCTTACCTTATTTGGTGGCTGCACTCAATAACAACTAAACAAAAGTCTAGCTGGAGCTGAAAAAGAAAATAAAACAGTTCAGAATTAGTTTACAAGTTATAGGAAAGTGGTGAAGAGTGAGATTTTTTAGTTTAATAAAATTATAAGAGTTCGAAACATCTTTGTGTATTTAATTGGGAACATAGCAATATAATTTCGTAAGTATAATTGCATTTTAAAAACCATAAATATACAAATTCTTTCTCATTTTAGCTTTCTTTAATACTGTGTGTTAATCTGAAAAAACTTTGTAACCTGAAATGTTTGTGAGCAAATGGCAAAAGTATTTGAACAAAAATTCTAATGTTTTTTTTTACCTCTTATAACCGAAACTCTTGAAAATTCCTGACCGCACCTAACAAATCTAACCAATCAGCAAAGGGTAACTTAAATTAAAGAAGAAAGCCAAAGGCTTCTTTTCTCTTATTTTCATTGTTTTAAGGCTGAGTGCCCTGCACTTGTTATGGAAAACAGAAACAGAAAATTTTGTATTTTGGGCCAAAGGTTTTCCCGTTCATGGCTAGCGGCCAATTTTCCAACTGTAGTCTGAAGGAATTTTCGTAAATTGCCCCACAATCAGCATAAATTTTGTCAGCTAGCCCAAATTAGCTTCGGCAGACTCTCATAGACGTCTCCGTCTCCAGAGCCCGAGTAAACCTCCCTCTTACTCGTACTCGTATTGAAAGGCACAAATTTGTGCTAATGAGTTTTGAAAAAGGGATTTGTAGGTGGCCTGTGCCGACCTGCTTAATGCTTGGCCAGCTTTCGGGCTCATTCCACTCCGTGCCTACCAATCTCGACTAACCTCGGCTAACCTTACCTCATCTGATACAGAATCCCAGTTAGTCACGTGTGGCGACTGGGCCCGTAATTGAGTTAAACTTTTCTAGGCCAGGCCCGAAAGGCTTCGACGTCTTTTTTTTTTCTCGTGCCAGTAGGAAATGGTAGTGAGCTACGACGATTGCATCAGTTGATGGGTCGAATCTCTTTTGGCCCGACTGTGGAAAGTTTTTAAAGCCCAAACACACACACACACACTTTGGCAATTGAAAGTGTTTGCGCCGATGTGTGTCCATATCGAAGCATATCGAACGTGCCATAGAATTCATCTAGTGAACCAACAATTGCCAGGCTAACACAAACCAAAAGCCCGTACAAATATGGTCAGAAGGAGAGGATTAAAATGTTTCAGAATGATTAGCTCTTTTAAAAAATAAGTGAAAATATTTAAATAACATTTTTTTTAACGCAATTTAAAACGGTTAAGTTTCAATTTTTCTTTTATTATTTAAAAAATTTATTTGTATATGTTTTTTTTTTTTGAATGACACATTTTCGTAGAGCTTACTCTTAAATATAAACCAATTTATTACATTATTCAAAACTTATTTATTTAATATTTATTCATGTTTTAACTAACCTTTTAAACTAGTTTTTTTCCAAAAGCATCCAAAAGGTAAAAAAATTAATGCATTTAATAGAATAACTTTGGAAAATTTTGTATTTTCTGTTAAAATTATTTCTTAAATAAAATTGTTAAAGTAAAAACTTTTTTTTATTGCTCTAAGTTTTTTGTAAAAATTAAATTGATGTCTTACATTATTTAAAGTTTTCTTATTTCTTATTGGAGATATACAAATATTATAATTCTATCGAACTTCTACGATCTTATCCCACAAACCTCTTTAGCTTTACGATTGCAATAGGGTTTTTTTTTTGGATTTTTGGATTGGTAATCCAAATATGGCAAGTGCCATGGCTATGGCCTGCCCGTTTGCTGCGATTTGAATTTGAATTTGAATCTGGAGTGCCAAAAGCACTAGACACCCGCACACAATGGAAAGTGCATTTACATTTGGGAGGAGGATGAGGAGTCAGCAGGCAGTCGGCCAGGCAGGCGCACTCCAAATGTTATTGAAATATTTATAAGTTAGACACCAGGCCGTACGATGGAGGGACCTCAACACTTACAGCAATCAAATGCACACAATAAAACATTTTCAATAACTCTTTCGACGCTGCGACTGAGGCCATTAAGGATTGAAAAAGCTCCCCAAAAAGCCACCCAAAACCCACAAATGTTTGCGACTGCACATGCTGGGATTGAGATCCCCAATTGCAGGAGTAGTTTGTGTGCAAGTGTACTTCTCATTGTGTCCCACTGTGCCCAAACGCCCACCCAAATGTATTTGGTGCTCAGTGCACTGGGCAATGTCAGTTAATACACAGGAACAGCAGTTTTTCAGTTTAAGTAAATGTTAATTTGTTAAGTAGTATTCTGCAAGTTAAATTTCTTTGATTTATATATGTTGCATTTATTTATTTATTTTAAAAGAAATTCTGATTTTATTCTTTTTAGCATTAGACTAAAATCTGAATGATACCAACAAACATAACTTTACAATTTATTTACAAAGCTTTTTAAAATTAACAGCTCGAAAGTGTTTAAAGCATAATACAAATATTTTATTGAATCCATTTAAGCTTCCTTATAATTCACAGTTTTCTAGTTAAATTTACTGTAAAAATGTAAAATTGTGGTAAAGGCAATATGTTTTTGACCGTTTTTTTTCCGGTGTACCTGATAGTGGAGGCAAAGCAGAGGCCGCTTTTCAAGTGGCTATCAATCGTTGCCCTTGCCGGTTTCTGTTTCTATTTAATTTCAAAAATTGTTCGCCTCTGCCGCACTCAACTGATGATGGAATTATTTGCAGTTAAAATACACGAACAAATTTACAGACTTGCGGGCACTTCACGAAAAATTCAACGGTTTATATTTTTAGTTAGCCGCGGAGGGCAACTATTCCCATATGAATATAGACGAGCATTTGATTGCTTTGAAAACATGCAGCTGAATCTCCTGTTTTTCCGCATTTCTATCTTTGGCTGGATCTCTCTTTCCGTTTTTGCCTTTTCGTAAATTACTAACGAGTTTCGCCGGTGGGCGGAAGATGGGTGGGTTTTGGTGGAAAATAAAATGCAAGTCACGTACTAGGGGAAGGGGGAGGGGGCGAAACGCGGCATCAGCAAGGACATTGTCAACACACAAAGCTTGCCGCTTGTCCTGTTCAGCATATCCTAGGTCCTTCGCTTCACTTCGCCTGTCTTCGGCGTCACTCAACGCCGCTGTTTGTTTGTCAACAACCCGGACCCATCACACCCCCAAAAACCCCCATCTTTTAAAAATGGAACCTCTCTGCCTCCCCCGGAACCCATGAAAAACGCAAATTGCGCAAATCCTTTTAAAGGCAACGGCAAAGCGAATGCCGCTACGCGTTTTTCACTTCACCCCCACACTCCCGTTGACAACCCCCTTGGAAAGTCCATATCTCTCCACCCATGATGGGCCATGTTTAAATACGCAAACAGCCGACAGAAGCTACGTGCTTGGAAAATAATTTAAAAGCTCAAGAGGTGAGCAAAAGCAATGCACATAGGCACGTCCTAACAACAACATCAACAAAAGCAGCAACAAAGGCTACAAAAAATTGTATTTATTATGACGGAGATTGATGAATAATGGGATACCCTCTTCGGCAATCAAGGGATGAAATTAAAGCTTGCTGATGCGAAAGAATGTTGGTCAATAATGAGCTAAAATGCTATAGTTCATTAAGAAGGCAATGGGAAATGGCAAGCATTTTCCATCGTTATTTTCAATTAAATTTTTTTGATATGACAGGGAAAATAGGGTTGTCTTACATGTGAAAAGTATTTTCTGATAAGAAATGAAACTTTTAACTGAATTTCTTAAAAACACTATTTCGAAAAAGAAAAGCTTCATCATACAGCATGCCAGTGATTACAGGGTAACCACAAAATGGCGCAAAAAAGCCACCAAACCCGACTCCATTTGAGGCTCAGCTTTTCGCTTTCCTTTCTGTTGCTATTTCTTTTCTTAGCCTTTTTTCCAGGAAAACTCGTGTGTTTGTTTTAAAAATTTATGAAAATTTGTTTTTCCCCAAAGTAGGAGTCAAGGGAAGCCGGCGCAAACATCAAAAGACACGACAACAAGAAACTGCAGTCGTGAGGAAAACGCAAAATCAGGGTGAGGAAAAGCGGTAAGGAACGGTACGGGAATCGGAGGAGCAATCATCTGGGCAATTTGCATTTTCAATTTGCAGCAACAAACAAGAGATAGAAAGGGAGATAAGCGCCGAACCGCAAAACACCGCCTTAAACGCGACCTAACGAAGCAATAATCAATTATCAATAAATTTTACTGACGCCACGCCCACCCACGGAATGGAAGAGAAAAGGAAACCCCCAGGCGCTGATTAAGGATGTTTTTGGCTTTTATCTGAGAGTCGAAGACATCTCGATGGTCTTTATGAGCTGTCGAGTGGGGAATATTCGCCAAATATTTGCTTCTTCACCCAGCTCGATTGGCTTCTGGTTTTGGTCTGGGCTTTGGTTTCTGGTTCGGGCTTTCCCCCATCTGGTTTCGTCCTGAAATTGTCCTCGCAGTCACGCCCTTTTCGTGCTTTAATGACATTTTAAGCACACAAACACGCACGTATGCAAAGAAAAAATGGCAGCAGTTGGGGCAAGAAATACAACGTAGCATCCTAGTAAACAATGTTTATACGTGGCATAGATGACATTTAAAAACTCACTTTAAGCGGCCTTAAATTTATAACTACTATTTCAAAAGCTTTAATGCTTAATTTTTTATTTATCCTATATTAGCAGCATATTAAATATACTTTATTTATACTTATATGTAAATAAAAAAATATATTTTTAGCAAAACTTGTGTATAAATATTATTTTTAAAGTAATTTAAAATAAATAGGAATTAAGGTTAGGTTCAAGATTAATATGTCTTCACTTTGTGTTAAGATTATTGTAAGGTAATTAACTTTGAATGGCTATTATATATAAAACTTTTAATATGTAACTTAAATCTAACAACAATTTAAGGGGTTTTAATAGGTTACTTAAATCTAATAACAAGTAAAGGGGTTATCTGATATTCTGAATAATAAACAGTCGTCAGCCCGTAAAGTCCCGGTTT